ATATCTTGGAAATAAAGTATCATAAATGCATAATAAACCTTGTTTGCATTACATAAAAGAAATCATGGGAAGGAAATTTAGTACGGAAAGGTATTTTTAATTAAATAAAAATGTTGTTCGAATATAATTTAGAATATTCATATAGTTGATTAACTCCAGCCCGAATTCAATTTCGCCAGAATTAAGAATTTTATGATTGCAGAAATATTTGTTAATTTAACCGGTTATTAAACGGTTAAAATTATTAGGCTCTATCTAAATAACATGAATATCGGGCAGTCTAAAAGAAATATAAATATCCTAAAAATAAAAATGATGGAAAATAAAAGATGTTTCATTCATACATGTTCAACTTACATTTTATTTGTAATTATTATTTTACATTATATATGATTATTTCATTGTATGCAACTCACAATGCACTCCCCCCAAACGATAGCGCCACTTGCATTTTTTTTTTTTTAAAAAAAATAATTCCTTATCTGAGTGTAGAGATTTTATTTTATTTTATTTGTCATTTAAAATTTTTTTAATTTCTGGGTTCGATCCCACTGATTGAAAAATTTCAGACTTTGCACCTTTTTCGGGTTTGTTTTTTGCTTAAGGATGCATTAATTTTATTTTAAATCATTATTTTATTTTTTTATTTTTTTAAACGAGTTAGAACGATGTAGTCTGCAGAATTACACTCCCTTGAAAAAAAATGACCGGAAACTCAAAAATCGAAATAATAATTGAAATAAAAATTTTTTTTATTAATAAAATCGACTTTATGTTTTAAGTAAACTAATGCATTGTAATAATAGTATATATCTTGAAAATTTCGTGACAATTGGACTTTTATTAAATTTTAAATTCTAAAATTTATTAAAAATCTGCATATTTTGTGAAAATTTTCGGCTACAATAAAAATTGCAAATTTTTAGCTTAAAGGTTATTTTAGTAATTAACTAAATGTATTCGATATAATAAAAGAAATATTATTATATTTATTACTGCCTAATTAGATTAGGTTGCATTATGACGATCATATTTAAATCTAAAACTAATTCTGCAAAGATTATTAATGCTAAAATTTTAGAATAATATTTATTAAGCTATTTAGAATTAAAATTTAATAAAAGTAATAAAAGTCCAATTGTCACAAATTTCAAGATATATATTTATTACAATGCATAAGTTTACTTAGAGCATCAAAGTCGATTTTATTAATAAAAAATTTTTTCTTATTAGTTGTACTTCTTTCTTTACTCTTGTGGTCTTAAGTTTTCATTTTGTTTAATTTATTTATTTTTATTTTATTCGCTTTATACCGTAGCATTCGAAATGTCCCCGTCTTATTGATTGATCACTTGAAGATTTAATAAATCTAATATAAAAAGAAATCATATACGCGCATCCTTGGATTTGACCTACACTATTCTTTAAGCTATTTCAGAAAGAAAGTTAAATACTTTTGACATATATTATATTTAGTTTTGAAATATTATTACAACGTTCGTGAACAAAATTACAAAAGCTTTATTAATTATATAAAGATAATTTTAAAATTATTGGCATTCTTCTGTAATGATACAGTATAATATGTATTATTTTATATAAAAAGATTCTAATAAAAAGGCAATCTCTTTATTTTTATTAAAAATATAAAATAGTGTATCGTAAAAAGTCGGATCAAAGAATGCGCGGATATGTTATAAAGTCAAACGAAAATCACATGACTCATGTTTTGTGATTTATTTCCCAATTTAGAAATTTATGATCAAATTACGTTTTTGAAATTATTCATCAAATCAGAAAACCAGTTCTACTTATTAAGTATTTCCTTGTTCTGCAATCTAGTTGCGATGATGTCAGATCGTCCCTATGTATTTCTTCAGGATTTCATGGCTTTGCGTGATTTCCCTTTTATTCAAAGTTCACTTGTTTAATTTTTACAGCCAAAATATATTTAGTTTTACTGACTTTTTTCACTAACTCTTTTGTGAAAAAGGAACCAAGCTGGGTGGCGCAATAATTCATTTTCAATTGCGAAGAGGAATAAATGGGTTAGCAGAATGTTTTTCAGTTATGAGAGTATCAAACTGGATCATAACTTTCCCTTTCGTTGATTTTTTTTCTTTCCTAGCGGCATGTAAAAAATAATATTAGTAATTCAATTCCAACATTGATCTTATAATTATTTTTCATGCACTGAAACAACGATATGTGATCTGTACATTAAATAATGAGAAATCTTGTTAATTTCGAAAAAGTACGATCAGATTACCTATTCCATTCTTTGTTAATAATTATAAAACTTTCAAAAAAAATAAACGACTATGTTAAAAATTCTCTTGAATTTTAAGATCGTAATCCTTTAGGGAATACACTTGACCTGTGATTGTCCAGAGAAACTTTTTAACTCGCGTGTTGATGAACAAATGATAGACGAATATCGACTAATGTGAACCGATTCTCTAAAACATTTGATAAGTCGAACTTTAATTTATAAATATAAAATTACTTAAGTATAACTGCAAAATAAAAAAATTTAATATAACAAATTCGTAATGTCTGTCAAGAAAAATATCGATTCAGGTTTCAAAAAATTATTTATGCTGCTGAAAATGATCGACGAATTACTTTGCATAATTAGAAAATTTAATAAGTTGTTGTGCATTGTACGACTTTATGACAATTAAAAAAAGAAACAAGAAAAAAAAAAAAGCATTTTTAATTTTTCTAACAATAATAAAAAAGTAGACGAAGCTGGTAAGTATGAAGTTTAGCGTATTTAAATAAGTTTATCTGAAATAAAAACCTGATACCCTATTAATTAATAATTATTCTGTTATAAATTTAATAAATATTCAATACATAGAATTAGGTTAAAATGCAAAAAAAAACTCATACATTATCTTTAATTATCAGTAATTTAAACTCAACTAAATTTTTTATTTAATTAAAATATTACAGCATGTAAGTAATTTTTATTAATTATCAATATTCAATTCCAAAAAAACTTTTAGATTTAAATTTTCAATATGAAAAAGCTTCAGATATTTACAGTTATGGTGTATTAATGTGGGAAATTTCTATTTAAGGATTTAATTAGCAGAATTTTTATATCGTGAAAATGTTATAGAACATACCCCGAACGATTATAAGGAGCTTTATGAAAAATGTTGGGATTTCAATACCTGAGAATAGACCAAGTATTAAAATAGTATTAGAAGAATTTAAAAAAGTGGATTTTGGAATGAAAAATGAAGGTAATGAGGATTCCACTTCTATGGGAACTGAAATAAGCATTAAGAATACTTCGGTTGAAGGTACAATAATGACTAATTAATATATTATTGTTTTAAATATATACTAATTGTATTAAAGATAATAATGATATTTTAGTAGGAAATACCGAAGAATTAAATCGTTCTCTTGATACACATGATCAGTGTTGTCTGGGGCATGTCCCATATGTGCTTGGGACAATTGGGGAATAATGAGGGACAGCTTGGGACATAGTGTGGGACAGTCTTAAAATGCTTGGGACATGGACAACACTGCACATGATGATTTAATTAGTAAGTTATTTGTTTATTTTATTTTTATATTATCGTTATGATGGATGGATAAATAAATCTTTAAAAACTTTTTAATTATTAGAAATTTATAAAATTAATTTTGGGGAATTTTCCATTTAAGAAAATATTTGAAGATTCATTTCCACGATATCACTAATGATAGTTGGATTACATGAAACGACTAGGATACAATTATCGGGAATGCAATAATTTCATATATACGGTTTTTGTTATCTATTCAAATTAAAAAAAAAACGATATTTTTTATCTATTATATAATTCATCGATAACATGTAGCCTAATATTGCTTGAGCGCTTAATAAAATATGATACAAATAATTTGTCAATTTTCTTCCTATTTATTTGCTCAAAAAAAGAGTTTACATACTTTGCGCGAAAACTTCAACTCGCAAGGAAAATGCAAAAATTTTATTCCAGAAGTAATTACGTATAATTTTTTTGTGTAGATCATTGATATTTTATATTTCGTACTTCAACATTGAATTTTTTTCGAAAGTTTTAAAATATCGAGATTATTTAGAGCTTATCCAATTGAATGAACGTGCTTACATAAAAATATAAAAAAAATAATAGATTTTTTTTTGATTTCAAGTAAGCTCAACTTAACAAAACAAAATTTGCATTAAACTATGATAAAAAGGGAAAGTTTGTAAGTTATAAATTTATTACTTACTTTATAAAAGGATAATTTATTTTTTTTTTGTTTTTGTAAGAATATAATCAAAACAATCAACAAGCGAAAATCATGGTCGTAACAATACGACGATTAGAGGATAAATTATTTTTCTTACTTTATATTAAGTAGAAATTAATCCAGTTGTCTTTTTCAAATTTTTTGCATATTATTTTATTCTAAGTAACAAATCATAAAAATAATATATACGAATGATTTGACGTAAAATGAAACTGTTGGGCAGTTCAGTCCAATAAATTGAAAAAGATGCAAATATGAAATTCTTTGGTATGTGTTTTAATCGAAACGTGATTAGCATTTAAAAATAGCCAGCACTTTGATGTCATTATCAAATTTAAGGGAAATAAAAACGATTCTTAGAAAGTATATTTATGAAAATAATTATTTCCTTTCTCTTACAAAATTTGATATATGTTTCACGTATTGCAACTAAATTAACAGATTAAATCTCGAATATTTCATAGACCTAAACCGATCTAATCAAAAGATTCCTTATATTAAGTTCTTAGGAAATATAATTATTATAGATAGATTCAATGTCAATTTATGAGCATCAGTACAATATATAGTGAATTATAGATGTCTCAACGGTTCCTATTTTTAAATTAGCTTTTAAAAGAATATGAACTTATATAAAATCTTACTTATACTTATTTGATCCGAAATTTTAAGCTGTATACCGTTTAATAGGCATAATTCATTTAGATGTTTCATCTCAATTATCCTTCTACCCGAGATGCTTCTGCTTCATTATCAACATTCACCTGATATACTTCATAATCAACAATATTTTTTGTATCACTTAAAATTCTATTCATATTTTGATATACGTCAGGATCATTATTTCGATGAATACTTTTATCAATAATTGATAAATTACCGAAAGCTGGTCCAAAATCTGATTTATAATATACAGCATTCTTTTGAATTTCAATATCTTTCGAAACCCTTGCGATGTATCCTGAATTAAGATCATTTTTCGCAAAAGTAAATAAGAAACTATGTGAAGTTGAGCCCCAACCAATTTGGTTATTGTTAGATGGCGTTAATAACAAATACTTATTGTCAGTTAATGTGTCAATATTGTAAAGTTCCCAGCTTAATGGATTATAACCACCGATTAATTTATCATTTTCTTGCAATTTTGAAATAACGATAGTAGGACCTTCGTCGTCACATAATTGATGAAACGTTTTCGCTTCAAATCCATCTCTACTAGCACGATAAAGAAGTTTAAATGAATAAGGTATATTCCTGGAATTATAAAAGAATCTGTTTTTTTTATTATCAATCCAGCCGGCTATCATAAATAAGTGATTTCTACAAATAATAGTTGAATTAAAAGATATGTCACGTCTTGGAGGTAATAAAAGGGTTTTAGACTGTGTATTTGGATCCAAATGATAACTAATTATACTTTTATATAGTTTTCTTGGAAATATTGTTTCATATGGATCAACCTCTCGCAAAAACATTTTTGAAGAAATCTGAATCCATCTAACATGTGGGATTAAATCACAAATGATTTTTTCCAATTCTTCAAAATCATTTGATGTCCAATTAGATACGTCATTATCCAATGGATTAGACACTTTTGATCTACCCCATTTAAGAATAAAATCCCAAATGTCAGATTCTTCCATTCCAAGTTCGTCTTGTTTTAAAAGAAGGATAATAAGTTCTTTTTCTAACGATTTAATATTTGGAGATTCAAAGAGAATCCTAGGATTTTCGCAAATGACTTCTAAACAATGTTTCCTTAAATTTTCAAAAACTTCATATTGATGTACTGTTTTTAGGATTTCAACTGGTTCACTCATTAAATATTCAACTTGATTATTGATCAAATGAGGCTGAATATAATTACTCAACTTATGAAGGTTCAATTCGTTAGTTGCAACCAAAAGTTTCAACACTTGAGTTCCGGTTAGATAGTCTAAATTAATGATGCCAGTGTATAAAAATTTTAATATTAACTCAAATGTATCCGGAAAGATATTTGGTTTCTTATAAATGATAATTCCGTTTTCACTTTCTTCCCATTCAGCAACCTTAAAGTATGCTGACCTTGCTTTTAAAATGCATGAATGTGCAAAGAATTCCTTCATACTCTGTCCCTCACCAGCTTGAATAATTACGTCATAATTGTCTCCACCTGTAAGGAGTTGTCCAATGTCATTTGATAGATCCAATAAAAAATTTTCTGTCATGGTCGTACTGACTTTATTATTCCCACCGCTATGAGGTTTTTCATTTCTTGAACTTGATGAATTATCTATTGGGTTAAGAGGAGGTTCAGTTGCTGAATTTGCTGAGCTTGATAAAGTAGCTTTATTCCTGGGTTTGCGAATTTTTTTTGTCATGGTAAGACTTATTTTGACAAACTATCAGATATTTTATTGAATACATTAACGTCTTTTTATAATTTATCATTCCATTATAAACATTTTCACATGTAATGCTTACATAATTGGGTCAATTACACAATCGTGCATATCTTGTACTATTTATTAATTTTAGGAACCAATCAGATTAAATGCTCCCAATTTCTGAGGGATTGAAACATTAAAAGTCTCTCACGTCTTTTCATAAATGTTAATATTCAATGACTTTATTTTTTATTTTTACGTTTCACATGAATTCGACCACATAAAAAAATTTGACAGGAAAAATGAGATGACATATATTTCAAATAAATATATATTTTTTCTTGTTTATACATTTGTACATAATTATATTCAAACCCAAAGTTTCTTTATGTTGATCTACTGTACATTTGAAAGGACAATCAATGAGATTCGATCATCAAATAAATTTTTTTGTTTTGCAACGGATGCAAAAAATTTATGTCGGGCTGAAATTAGTTTATATTCTGCCTGTCACACAAAAGAAACATATCTTGGGGCAAAATGATAACAGCTGTCCTTTATAGTACAATATATGTTACATTAATAATATATTTAGAATAATGACTATTATTAAAATATAAATAAATACATTTATCTTTAGATATCATTGTCATACAATAGTATGTACCCACAACAAAGACGCCAACTTGCAATTTTTTTTTAAAAAAAGAAATATCTGTTGAGTGTTAACTTTTAAACATATACAGTTAATAAAAAAATAGTGAAATTCGTACAAATTTTTTTTTATTTAATGAAAATAAGACGGTCAACAAGTTTATGAACCTGCTAAAATTTATAGCGGAACGGCAAAAGTTTTATCATATCATTTTGATGGATTCCTTCAACCGTTTCGCTCATTTCTATTTTGTTTATGATACGGTATACTATTTTTACACTGGATATAATTTCGCCCGAAAAAAATCCACAATTCCGCATGAAAATCGCTTTCGATATTTGCTGTTAGTCTTTTGAAGATCATTTGCCAGGCTGTAAAGCCAATGTCAAGACGCCAGGCTGGCCTAATTATTATTTTTTTATAAATACGAGCTGGAAATCCTTAAACAGCTCAACATTCCATGCTCGTCCTTATTATATTTTGCATATATACACCTCTAAATCCTTCCATTTACACCTACGCGATATTTCGTTTTCGCCATTTTAACTTTTTAGATTTATTTGTAACTTCGTTTATTTTTTAATTTCCGATTTTCTTATTATTTTTTCGTAATTGTTCGTAATTGCGCTGTTTTAACTAATTAGAATTTATTGCTTGGCATTTACTTAGTTTAATATATTGACATTGCGAAAGTGTAGAACGCCGACATTGAGACAACACTGATTAATTTGATATATTAAACAAGCTTAATTTGAATTTTTCATTTAATTTATAATAATAAATAAATTTTACATAAAAAAAACTTGTATTAATAATTAAATTTCATATTTCTTAAGTCATCGTGAATGTGAAAAATAACTTGCACAACAATTTCTTATAATCGGTTGTTTTAGTAATACATTTAAGTGGTTCACCACAGACCAAAGATTGTATATTCAAATTCATAATTTCTTTTCCTTGAACTTTTATTTAAACGTAAAGACCAGTTAACGTATGGAGATAGATTGACAGTTAAACTATACTTGATATATGATGATGAAAATATTTATTTCAGTCGAAATTTTAATTTGTATTGCGCAATTTACGATATACAAATAAGATAGCATTGGAATAAGGCAATGAATTATAATTACATTAGTTTGCAAACATGGTTCGTTCGATGTAACTTTTTTAAAACAAAATATTATCGAAATATAAGTTTATTAATAATATAAACGAATTTTTCAATGTTTTATATGTAAATGACTTTTTTTTTTTACTAATCTTATTACATTAGTTATGTAGAATTTACATAAATAATGGATTAAAATGATTTAAGTCCTTACCAAAATTTCGGTATTTACTAATTGATGAAATCGTAAATTAAAAATGAAGAGAGAAAGAAGCTGTTCAAGTATGGATTAAGATATTTATTTCAATTGATCATAGTGCATCATAAGATATAACGTCCTTAATTTTCATTTTATACTGAGCTACAATAAAGTTATAATATTTTTGATATAAAAATTAAGAAGTTTAAGTGTTTGTTAGTTAAGCCTAAGACAAAACAAAAAATTAGTTCATATGCCTATTATTTTTCAAAATTAAAAAAAAATGATTATAATGCGCTACCTATATTTCCAATTAAGTAACACCTGTAGTGATCGATCCTGAAATATTTAAATATACATGGACGCTTTGCAGTGGAAGCGTTAAAACTTTTTTTTTTGCGTTAACGTTAAATCTGTGCACTAATTCACAAATCTCAATTCATATAGTAAAAGTTTTGCCTCATTAAAAAAATTCTTGATCATTAGTGTTACACAATTAACCTAATAAGGAGATTTTTTTAAAAAATAAAAATCTTTTCACAGTAAAACCCATCATTCAATATTAGTACGTAATATTAATGAGTTCCAAAAAAAATTGATCGTAAAAATTATACATTTAATGTATTTAATGTTCAAATATATATATATATATTTTGAATCTGCTAAATTATCCTAATTTTAAATTTTATTGGCTGAACTATTAATCTAGATTTGCACTGAAACCAAATTAACAAATTAATATATTTTATCTTTTAAAGGCCTATCCTAGAGAGATTAACAATTAATGCGATTCACTTTTTAGTTAATTATACGCGTTGGTTTAAACTTGTGTAACATAGATTTCGAATTCATCATCCGTAACTTTCTAGCGCTTTTTAGGTCTTCGCTGAAATATTTTTCTTATTTAATATAATCTGAAAAATATTGTCATTTTCCAAATCTTCGTATTTCAATTCAAATTATGTAAGTTAATTAATCCAATTCTTTTTAAGAATTACTTTTGCAAATGACATGATCTCCACTAAGTTGACAAATAAATGCGAGACATTTTCCCATAGAAATATCCGAAATCTTTAAAATCTAATCACTTGAGTATTTTTATTATTTCTTAAGAAATGCGCGAAACTTTAATGAATTCGTGATAACTTTAAGAAAAATAAAATACTTTTTTATCTTAATAAATTTTCCAGTTGAAAGGTATATTTTATTATTTTCGAAGTATTAATGGTTTTTTTTTAATAAAAAAAAGCAACTATTTTATGAAAAAGACAGCTATTTTAAATACTTTCGCGAAATTTGAAATGGTATCATCAAGTTAAATCCAGAGTTATTAAAAAGTAAAATTATGACAATTAATTTAAGAAATTTATTATAAGACAAATTAACTATGCAATATAAATAGCTTACCAATTCTAACTTAATCAAATCCGGCGGGAACTATCGTGTATCAGGATTACTGTAATTTTATTTTGATCAGATCATAGATCATCGGATAGGCGCGCTTATTTTCATTTAAAACTTTGATTGATGAAAGAGCCTTGATAGATAGATACCTATAGGGAATTGACAACCATCTCGAATGCATTAGATCATGTGGTTATTTTGGATTTATTGAGTGAATTTTCTTTTGTATTGTAATGGCCTGTATTTACTTCGTGGTATTAAATTCTCGAAAAAATGCAATTCGAGCTACTTTTCCTGAATTTCGAGGTCGATACTGACAACAAATTATTGAATCAAGTTAGAAAATCCAATCTATTATATTATTTTTCATGGTTATATATATCCATTAACTGTGTAAAATGTCAATTTGATAAGTTTTAACTTAATAAATGATATATCAAAACTAAATATTAAAAAAGCAGTAGAAAGCAGTACAATAACCATACTAAGCGGTGACAAAGTTGTCGCACACCAACCTAATCTAGTTAAATATGTTAAAAAGTTAGAAATGCTAACAATATTAATTTTCGTAATGCAGTCAGATCAACATCATCAGGTATTACTGTAATAACTTCAATTATTCCATAATAATATTTTAGAATAATTCAGATACATGACTTTTACATATTGTTAAAATTTAACTTAAGCTGATAAATTTATTTTTAATTTAAAAGTTCTTTAAGTTAAATGTATTCAAATGTTTTTAATAATAGTATTAATTACATTAAAGATAATAAATATTTCTTCCATTATTGGTAAAGTATTACAAGTTAAATGATTATCTTATCAGTTATTTCATAATAACTTACTATATTTGTTATATAAAATAAAACTATTTTAAATTAAAATAATTAAATAATAGTTTAATAGTATAGATATTAAACTAAATAATTAAAGAAAGAATTTATTATTATTTTCTATGCTTAGTTAGATAATTATTAAATATATAATTAGAAAACTTAAATTTCAAAATAATATATATTATTCCTTCATTTGTTTTGCTTATAAATTTGTAGGCAATTTTATTTATTAATTACAATCATTTTAATTATTTTTAAATATTTTAAAATATATTATTAAAAAAATTAATATTTATATAATAAATTTTATGATGTTTTCTAAGTAAAAATTAAAAAAAATATAATTAACCAGTGATTTTTTAAAGATAAATAAATAATAAATTATTATAAAAAAATAGAACTCTGAATCAGATCAGGTTGATCTGTTTATCTAATAGACCTAATCTGAAAATCCAGATCAGGTCAATAGATTTTCATATTATTAATATCAGATTAGATTAACAGGTTAACGTGATCTGACCTAATCTGACAAAATTCAGGTCAGCTAACCATTATTCTTGAATAATAGTTTATTATTTTTGAATATTTTATTGTTCAATTAGAATAATTTATTATTATTCTTGAACTATATTTTATTATTTATTAGAATAATTTATTATTATTCTTAAATGATATTTTTATTATTTTAAACAAAGTTTTATCATTTAATTAGAAAATTTATTATTATTCTTGAACAATATTTTATTATTTAATTAGAATATTTATTATTGTTCTTAAATAATAGTT